GGCACTCCATCCCTGGGTTGACCTGCCCAACTAAGGTTATACCAGAGATATGATAGCTTTTTATAGACCAGGATTGGAAGCAGACAAGATTGTCTGTCAAAATTTGGGAGCATGGGGGCAGTGTGTAGAAGGAAGGATAGAAGAGGATGGTTGAGGAGAACTTGAGGGAATGGGATAGTTGAGATGGAGGAAAGACAGATATGAGAGCAAGGAAAGAGATATCCTGATTGAGGAAACATTATGGGGTTAGCAATATAGATGGCTCTAGAAAAAAAATGCCCAGGAAACCACAAGGATGACCCAAGCTAAGACCCTAAGCAATAGAGGAGAGGGTGTCTGAACTGGCCTTACCCTGTAGTCAGACTGATGATCACCTTCATCTAACAACAGATGGAAACAGAGACAAAGACCCACATCAGAGCACTGGACCAATCTCCCAAGATCCAGTTGAAGAGTGAAAGGAATGAGAGTATGAGTAATGAAGTCAAGACCATGAGGGGTTCACCCACTGAAACAGTTTACCTGAGCTAATGGTAGCTCACCAACTCCAGCTGAACTGGGAGTGAATGAGCATGGGAACAAACTAGTCCCTTAGGTGAACCTAGACTGGCATTTGAATTTGGAGAATGCAGTCCTCCCAAGAGAGAGGAACTTCCAGGCAGAGAGTTTACTTAAGGTCAATATGTATTTCTGTCCCTACCTCATGCTTTCAAGTTCCCTCCATTTGCTTTCATGATCACCATGACATAGAAGGATAACCCAAAGCTCCTGGAGTCCAGTAAAATGGAGGAGCAAGAAGATTGAAGATCATAATGGGGAAACCCACAGAGATGGCTTACCTGAACTAGTGGGCGCTCATGGTTCCTGGACTGACTGCTGGGGAGACTACATGGGACTGAAGTAGCCTCTCTGACTGTAGATGACAGTTGTGTGACTTGATCTGCTTAGGGACCCCTAGCAATGGGGCCAGGATTTATTCCTGGTGCATGAACTGTCTTTTTGTAGCCCATTCTCTATGGTAGAATTCCTTGCTCAGCCTTGATGTAGTGGGGGAGGGACTTAGTCATGCCTCATTTCAATATGTAAGAATACTTGACTTCTCATGGGTGTTTCTACCCTCTCTGCAGAGTGGACAAGGAATGGGGTAAGGAAGGGGGAATGACAAGAGGGGAGAGAGGGGGAACTTTCTTTGGTATGTAAAATTAATTAAAAAAGAAAATAAAAAAGATTAATAATACAAGTTACATTTAGAATTTTAATGTCTAATTTCTTGAGTTCTTTATATATTTTGGAGATCAGTCCTTTGTCTAATGTGGGGTTGGTGAAGATTTTTTTCCCACTCAGTAGGCTGCCTTTTGTCTTATTGACTGTGTCCTTACTTTTTTTTCCAGTCTATTTGGTGTTCTGTAGGCTTGTTGTACCTTCATAGGGATATTCTTCTGTAGGTTGGGAAAGTTCTCGTCTATAATTTTGTTGACTATATTTTCTGTGCCTTTGAGCTGGATTTCTCATTCTTCTACCCCTATTATTCTTAGGTTTGGTCTTTTCATGGTGTCCCAGGTTTCCTGAGTGCTTTGTGTTAAGAATTTGTTGGATTTAGTGTTTTCTTTGTGACCAATGAGTCTATTTCCTCAATATTAGACATTAAAATTCTAAATAACCCAATTAAAAAGTCGTGTACAGAACTGAACAGAGAATTCTCAACAGAAGAATTTCAAATTAACAAAAGATACTTAAGGACATGTTCAACTTCCTTGGCTATCATGGAAATGTAAATCAAAACAACTCTGAGATATCATCTTACTCCTGTCAGAATGGCTAAGATCAAAAACACTAATGATAGTTTATGCTGGAGAGGATGTGGAGCAAGGGGAACACTCATCCATTGCTGGTGGGAATGCAAACTTGTGCAACCACTTTGGAAATAAGTGTGGCGGTTTCTCAGAAAACTGGGAATCAACCTACCTCAGGATCCAACAATACCACTCTTGGGAATATACCCAAAAGGTGCTCAATCATACTACAAAAGCATTTGTTCAATTATGTTCATAGCAGCATTATTTGTAATAGCCAGAACCTGGAAACAACTTAGATGCCCCTCAACTGAAGAATAGATAAATAAAGTATGGCACATCAATACAATAGAGTACTACTCAGCAGTAAAAAAATAATGACATCTTGAATTTTGCATGCAAATGGATGGAATTAGAAAACATTATCCTGGGTGAGGTAACCCAGACCCCCCCCAAAAAAACAAATATGGTATATACTCACTCATAAGTAGATACTAGACATAAACAAAAGGCAATAAACGAGCCTATAGTTCATGATTGTAGAGAAACTAATAAGGTAAAGCCAAAGAAAACATATATAGACCCTCCTGGAAATTGGAAACAGACAAAAATTTGGGGCAGGAGGTAGAAAGAAGGGGAGAAGGGGGAATTGAGGAGAACTTGAGGGAATGGGATAGTGGAGATGGAAGAAGGACAGATACAAGAGCAAGGACAAAGATATCTTGATTGAGGGAGCCATTAGGGAGGTATCAAGAAACCTGGCTCTAGAATAATGCCCAAGAACCCACAGGAATGACCCCAGCTAAGACCCTAAGCAACAGAAGAGAGGGTTCTGAACTGGCCTTACCCTGTAGTCATACTGATGATTATTTTAAATATCACCATAGAACCTTCATCCAACAGCAGATGGGAACAGAGGCAATGGCCCACATCAGAGCACTGTACTGAGTTCCCTAAATTCAGTTGAAGAGTGGAAGGAGTAAGAGTATGAGCAAGGAATTCAAGACCATGAGGGGTTCATCCACTGAGAGTTTGCTTGAGCTCACCAACTACAACTAGACTGGGAGTCAGCTCTGAAGGGGGTTGACAGTTGGGGCAGACTGAAGGGCCACTGATAGTGACACTGGAATTTGTCTCTACGGCATGTACTGGCTTCTTAGGATCCTATTCTCTTCGGATGTAAGCCTTGCTCAACCTAGATATAGTAGGGAGGGCCTTGGACTTTCTACAGTTTAGGGTGTATGGCCCTCTCTTAAGATTGGAGGGGTGGGAGCCTAGGCAGTTTGGATGCTCACCTTACTAGACCTGGATGGAGGTGGGTGGTCCTTGTACTTCCCACAGGGCAGGGAACCCTGATTGCTCTTCGGGCTGATGAGGGAGAGGGACTTGATTGGGGGAGGGGGAGGAAAATGGGAGGTATTGGCGGGGAGGAGGCAAAAATCTTTAATAAATAAATAAATAAATAAATAATACAAGTGACAGCTCATGCTGGCATTGATGTGGAGCAAAGGGAACACTCTTCTACTTTTGGTGGTAACACAAACTTGTACAGCCATTATGGAAATCAACAAGGCTGATACTCAGAAAGATGGGTATCATTCTACTTCAATATACAGCTCTACCACTCTTGGGACATATTATAGTCAACCAATGCCTGATTTCACTTAAGATTCACTTCACAAGAAGGAACCCATATCCATCACTGCTTGTGTAACCTAGAACAAGAGACTGGATACCCAAAATGTGTGGGATAAAAAACAAATAAGACTGCTAAAATTAAAAAAATGAAAAAAAATAGTTCCTAATGATAATATGCTGTACTCAAAGATACCAGTCGTCATCAATGAGACTTTTTTTTATAGCAGAGTGCTTTTTTTTATTGAGAATAAGAAAAAAAAGTTTCCGCCTCCTCCCAGCCTCCCATTTCCCTCCCCCTCCCCCTGCCCTTCTCCCCCTCCCCCCACTCCTCTCCCCCTCCCTCTCTAATCCAAAGAGCAGTCATGGTTCCCTGCCCTATGGAAAGTCCAAGGTCCTCCCGCTCCGTCCATGTCTAGGAAGGTGAACATCCAAACTGGCTAGGCTCCCACCAAGCAGGAACATGAAGTAGGATCAGAACCCCTTGCCATTGACCTATGCTTCTCATCTGTCCTCATTGTTCGCCATGATCAGAGAGTGCGGTTTTATCCCATGCTTTTTCAGTCACAGTCCAGCTGGCCTTGGTGAGCTCCCAATAGATCACCCCCCACTGTCTCAGTGGGTGGGTGCACCCCCCCCCGTGGTCCTGACATCCTTGCTCGTGTTCTCCCTCCATCTGCTCCTCATTGGGACCTTGGGAGCTCAGTCCAGTGCTCCAGTGTGGGTCTCTGTCTCTATCTCCATCCATCACCAGATGAAGGTTCTATGGTGATATGAAAGATATTCGTCAGTATTGCTATGGGATAGGGTCATTTCAGGTTCCCTATCCTCCGCTTCCCAAGGGACTAACTGGGGACATCGCCTTGGGCTCCTGGGAGCCACTCTAGGTTCAAGTCTCTTGCCAACCCTAAGGTGTCTCCCTTAACTAAGATATGTGCTTCCCTGCTCCCCTATCCAACCTTCCTTTATCCCAATCTTCCTGTTTCCCCAAGTTCCCCCAATCCTCCCCTTCTCACTTTTTCAATGAGACTTTCTTTGCCAGCACATGAGAACAGAACAGATGCAGAAATCCCAGACAGACATTATGAAGCATGGACAAATTCTTCTTTTGCCACTCATCCTCACTGAATGGATTGCTTGTGCCCATGCAGCATCAATGTTAGGTGAATTAGTTAAACATAAAATGTATCTGAGCAGATGAGAAAAAGCATTTATCTCTGTGCAAACACTGCCCCATTTTTACAGCAGACTCAAAAAGTTTGAGGGTTCCTGAAATGATTTCCCAGGGAATCTGAGGTTTGGCTATATATTTGAAACACAACATAAGCTCTTAATGGCTTTGCATTTTTGTATACTTTATTGATGTCTTTATTTTCCTTTAGAGACGGAGTCTCACTTTAAATCTTCGCCTGTCCTTATAGACATATGTATCCCAAGAGTAGAGGCATGAGTGAACCTTCTGGCTGTACCTGATCATTTTCATCACAAAGTTTTTCTCTTTGTTGTACCCCATTGATAAATTAATGCCCTCATTCTACTGTAGGATGAGAAAAGAGATCATTTATTCATCACAGATAGGGTGACTGGAAGACTTGTCTTCGAACTGACTGGGTTGGAGACCTCACACTGATACTCTCCAGCATCCTCCCTCCTGACAGGATCTATGCTGAGTCCACACTTTGTTGGGGACAGTGTCATCCTCTCTGTCAGCTGGAGACTCTGATTATTGAAGATCCAACGGATGAAGATCCCAGTGTCAGTTGAGAGGCAGGTGAGGAACACAGAGCTCTCTACTGTAACTGTGGTGTTGGTAACTCGAATGAAGGGCTGTGTCACAGGCTCTGAAAAGAAACAGAGCAGAGCAAATGATAGTATCCCTAGAGAGCTCAATAATCTCCTCTTTAATTCATGCTTAATAAATCCTCCAGGATAGATAAGTTAGAGCTGTGATTATATACACAACTTGTGCTTTTGATCTATCACACATGGTCTGTGTGACCCTGATTTAGTCACTGTATTCCCTGAGTCTCAATTTTCCTATAATATAACCAATTGTAAATGATCACTGTTGTGTCTAAGAGTTAAGCTTAGTTATGAGCAGTGCCTTGATCTTAGGATGTAGGAGCTGCTAAAATCAGCAGCATCTGTAGCTATTTACATGTAGAAGAGAATTCCCTAGGTTGGGCTCTGGACTTTGTCTGGATTAGCAAGCTCCTCCTTTTCTTCTATGAGATCACTGATCTTCCATTAAGTGTCCTAAGCCTGGAAGAAAAATAGGCTGTGACCTAGCCACCTGTCTACTGAAACTCAGGAGAAAAGATTCCCAGATGTTCTACCTAAGTGCACCTGTCACGGCAGTGCACAGCTTGTTCGACACTCTATGGGACTTGGAAAGTCAGTAAAGCCTTGTTCTGTCAGTTCTAACACAAAGTGAAAACCACGCACTGCTAACCTGGAGTCAAAACAGGGAGAGAGTTTTGGAGTTGGGGCTTTCTAGTACTCTCTGTGAGGACGCCATGGCTTCCTCAGCCAGGGCCTGCCTGGAAACCATAGAGTTTCTCTTGGGACTGTATTCATAGCCACAAGAGCCTGTGGTGAGGCTGACATACTGTGCTGAGTTATCGAGCACACATTCTCCTCTGTGCAGGGGGAGACTGGTGAAGGATTCTGATCTACTGCAGTTTGTCTAGCACATGTGTGACACCCAGTAAGTATCCAAACCCCACTGTGGGGACCCAATGCAATGGGAAGCAAACAAGCATAACCCAGTCTTGATAGTCCAGTGTATGAGGTAGCATAAACCACACCCAGCAGGTGGAGGCCTTAGAAAGTTACTTACTGCTCACATGAAGTTTCGCATCTACTTTTTCGATTTTGAAATCTCTATTTAAAATTTCTAGTGTGTACAATCCTGCATCTTTCTCAGTGACATTCTGGAGCATCAGGGATCCATTGGTGTACACCATCTCTCTTCTGCTGTGTTCGCTCCCCCAGGTGGTGTAATTAGTGGTTCTGCTGTATTCTACAACTTTAAGGACCTGGGTCCTAGACGTCAATTTGTACCAGGTAAAAGCTTGCAGTTCTTCTGGAAGATTATGAACTTGGAGAAGATTGCTTTCCCCTTCAGCAGCATAGGGAGGTATTGTTTGGATCATGAGTTTGGAAGAGGTGAGAGGGTTACAGCAAGGAGAAAGGGAGGCTGTAAGGAGAAAGAGAAAAACCATCATCACATGGGGATAATTGTGCTTTGTGTAAAGATGATTGCCTCCATCTTGAGCAAACAAATTCATCACTCAGCCTAAAGTTCCTAGTGTTTAAATGTCTGTTCCACTTAATTAAGGTAATGTGACATTCTCCATTCCTTCAGTGCCCCTTAAAGTGTCATTTCCTCAGGATGGAAATCTCCCCTCAAGTATCTGCATGCCTGCTCCCTCGCTGTCCTCAGGCAGACACAGAACACACTGCACACTGGGGTGTTTGAGAGGATGCTGTCTCTGAACTTCCAGGGTTTTTACTATCTGTTTTTATTGTTTCTG